GTTTGCTAATGGCTTCTTACTGCACACTCCTCACTGAGGGTTCCTTACCAACTATCACTTAACATTTTTCCCTCAGCACATATCCCTTACAAGGGATTCCTTACTCAAGATTCTCTATTCGGGATTCCGCATGACGAATTCTCTAGCAACTATTCCCCAATCAGAATTCCGTAGTTCCGATTCCTCTTCCGGGGGTCCTTAGCAAGGATCACATGTGCAGGATTCCGCACTCACGATTTCTTCGTAAGGTTGCCGTAGTACGTATTCATGATTCAAGATGATGTGATACATTATTCTGGGGAGTAGTTCCGTAAGTGGGATGCCGCATGAAGAGTATTTCAACCAACGATTCATCCTTATGACAGGGTTTTTACATTGGATTCTTCACCATGGATTCCTCATTCACGATTCCTTTTTGTAAAAGGGCTCTTTCTTCTAAGCTTGTCTATGCACGGATACTTGACTATTGGTTTCTTTTTGTTGAGTTTTCCAGTTCAGGGTTTTTATTAAGGATTCTTCGGTAACTAATATTTTTGTTAAGGGGTCCTTTTGTAAATGTTCTTTATTAATGATGCCTTGACATATATTCGTTGTTAACGGTTTGTTAGTTGCGATTATCCATGGAGGTGCCATTATGTAAACATTTCTTCGTAAGGATACCTTATTCGGGATCCCGCACTACACAATCCTCATTAAGGTTTCCTTGTTAAGGATTCCTCCTCATCGTCATCATCATCCTCATAGTCATCGTCATCCTCACCATCGTCGAGATCGCACTCGTTTTATTTTTGCTCAGTTTCCTCCTCGCTCATGTTGTATAGTTCTTTCTTCTCTTCATCCCCATCCTCCTCATGATTTCCCTCCTGAGGGTAGAGACGGAGTGGGATCCAGCGCGATAGAACAACAAAGAGGCCTTGCGCTGCCCCGCCGCCCCCCAGCCCGAGGTTGCACTGCCCCGCTGAAGGAGGATACGAGGACGAGAAGGATGGACGGAGAGCGGGGAGCAGATGAGGGGGAGGACGGAATAATCAAATCATGGAACGCATGGAAGCCAAGGCAAATAGTATGATCACAGGGAGCGTATTAATTTATTTTTATGTGTATATATATATATATGTATGTATATATATATATGTATATGTATAGATATACATATATATATATATATGTGTGTGAAAATGGATATGCATATGTAAATGTCTATGTCTAGGTGTATGTATATGTATACTTGTTTGTATATTTTTGTGTATGCAACGGTTTGAGTTTGTATTGAGATGTCTGATTTGGGTTTTTGTATTACCATGTTTCGGGACGGATTACCTCAGGGGGAGTTTGGATGTTCCGTGCGTTTTTGGCCGGCGGTGGGTTTCGTGTTCTTGAGGGATGTTCTTTTGGCCTGGGTCCAATTCTATTCGGAGATGGAAACAAAACATAAGCATAAATTTTCGGCGCTCCTCGCGGATTTCTTAGATCCGCGCTGGACCCCCTTCCCTGGCGCGCGCAGCGCGCCAGGGGCGGCGCCGGAAGCGCCGCCGGGGTTGGCCCAGCGCGGATCCGAAAAATCCGGGGGGAGCGCCAAAAGTGTATGTTTATGTTATGTTTTTGTTCTTTTCTGTGTACTCTTTTTGAGTGAAAGTGGTGTTCTACTACACTACATTTGTCATGGTGCCAACATCGCAGAGCGGATTTCGCTCGGAAAACAATGGGATGGGCCTGGCCTGTCCTGGAGAATTTCGTTCCGAATTTCGAGGTGAATTTCGTGCGGATTTGTTTGGTGCCAGGATTGACGACCAACAACACATCCACGCGAAATTCCTTCTGTCTTTCGCTTGCCGCTTCGAGGAAACATCCACGCAGCAATCCACGCAGCAGTCCGCTGCAGAAGGTCCTGCAAGGCCGGTGCAGTGACCTCTGTCCTGCACTGTCTTCGTGCGTGCGTCGTGCCGTGCCCGCTCCGCGGCTGCTCCGTGCGCGCTCCGCCGTGCCCCACCGTCCCTCCATGCTGCGCAGTGCTCGTTCGTTTCCTGGACCCCACGCTCGCTGCACTTCGCTGCGTCGTCGCTCCAGTCGGCTTGACACTCTTGCTCCACTGTGGCACCAGTGCTGCCCTCGTTCCTGTTTTGCCTCGTTCCCAAGTCTGTTTTGCTCCCTGTTCTCACTCCAGTCTGGTGCCTGGAGCCGTGATGAGCATCGAACGGACGCAACCTGGCTCTTCAAAAAGCGCGCTGACACTGCTTCAGTGCAGGCGCTGTTCATTTGCTGGAGCTGACGCTGATGTGTGTTGTCTCTCCCGCCCGCCCTGCTCCGGCCAGGAGGACCACGTGCCCGTGGGGTGCGAGGGGTCCTTCGCGCTGCAGGCCGCGGACTCCCACTTCGGCGGCTCCCCGGGGCGCCGAAGGGCGCCTTGTTGCGCGCCTCGCACTCCGGCGGTCAGCCGCGACACCTCTCTGGGCGCCTCCGCGCCGCGGCAACAGCCACGACCGGGACATGTTGGGCGTCGATTTGATTGAAGTTGGGCGTGCCCCTCTACCGGGGGAGTAGCCAAGAATAGTAACAAAAAGTCTGGGGACCATTCTTGAGTTCTGGTGTTGCTATTTGTCAGAGTATGTTGAGCTGTTCGCCCAAAATCCGCCTGCAGGGGGACATGCCCGGCCCAAGATTAGTTTGGCATTGGTCGGACGTGTGCAATTTGGCTCGGCGAGGACCATCGAGGAGCAGCTTGCATCATCCTGCGAAAGAGAAGCGCGCGAAATTCCGGCATGCACGGGGGAAGGACGATGGAGCGATGGCAAGTTCGCCCGACACAGAACGCCCGCCCAGAGGGGCGTCGAAACTGTGGTCAGAACGCATCCTGGAAGTGGTCTGAGGACTTGCGGTGCTGGTACCTCCTGGTTTCCGCAGGAGGCACGGACGCCGGGTGCGGAAAAGATGGGCATGCTGTCCCGCCAGAGTTGATGTCCAGCAGCGAGTGCCGGCGGTGAGTCCAGTGCGGGGAGAAGTGCAGAAGGGAGGCGGGCCTGCCCAGGAGGCTCTAGGAAGGCTTCTGGCCGTGCGGTCAGTTCCCGAAGCCTTCCTGGAAGGCACAAGGCACTTCTCAGAAGGGCGGAGGGTTGCCGAGAAGCCATGCCGCCCTCTGAGAAGGCCTGCTCCGTCTCCCCCTCGACCTTGGGTCGCAGCCGAGAGCGGGAGTGCCCACGCAGACGTGTCGACTGAGGAGACCTGCACTGGTTCACACGGCATCGGCACTCCACTGTACCCGTGCAGTTCCCGGTCGATGTCGCTAACCGACGTGCGTCTCGCTGGGGTGCATTCGCGAGGAGGTGCTAAGCGCATGTGAAGTGCCCCTGCCAGCTTTCACTAACAGGCGTGTTGGTTTCTGTCCATTCCCGAGGCGTGCTTCGGAGCCGCCGCCGGCAGGTCGGAGGAGGAACGCTCTTGACCGTTTTCGGTTTCCAGGGGCTCGTTCAGAGCCCCGACTCAGGGGTGAGTCGGGTCAGGGCTAAGTCGGGTTCGTTTTTCGGGAATCCGAACCCGATTTACCCTGGGCCCGAGTTCCCCCGGATAATTCGGGCGTCCAGAGCCCCAACTCATCAAGGGTAAGTCGGGTCAGGGCTAACTCGGGTTAGTTTTTTTCGAGAATCCAAGACCGAGTTACTCCGGGCCCGAGTTACCCCAGATAACTCGGGCGCCCAACTCGCCTGGCCCAAGGATCGTGAAAGAACGACTCAGGATGGAAACCGTGGTTTTAGACTCGGCATAATCTCCTTACTTACGTGCAAGTAAGGGCGTGGGGAGGCCCGACCGGAAGTTTGGACTTCGCGCAAGTCGGGACCTTTTGGCACGGCCTTCTCGGCGCGTTGTCCAGACATGCGGCGGAAGGGCGGATCCGTGGGGGGGGAGTGCTATGCAAGTAGCTTCGCTCGACTACCGAGAAATAGCCTCATGAAAAGCGGGTCCCCAGAGCTGGGAGGCCGCACGGAAAGATCACAGCGTTGGTTGTCCTGGTCCCTGCCCAGACTCCGAGCGGTGCCTGAGAGAAGCGGCCCCGTCTTGCCCAGACTCAAGTCGGGCATGTCCCCCCCACAGGGGGAACATTCACAAACAGTACAAAACAGTACGGGGACGATGCTTCGATTATTGTGGGATATGTTTAACATATGTTTTGGGATGTTCTAATTTCTCAAAAAAATCCGCCTGTAGGAGGACATGCCCGACCTAAGCCCAGACTTCAGTTCCTTTCCTCCTCCTCCTCCTCCTCCTCCTCCTCCTCATCCTCCTCATGCGGCGGCGGCCAATAATCGACGACGGTCAACGTCAACTACACGTAAGAGTGGCCCTTCCCCTGAGTGACCCTGGTTGCGGTCTCACTGGGGTCCCCCCGATCGCTGCACGCGATGCGGTGGCGGTTGCCTGTGCGTTTGGATTCGACCACCCTGCGCCCCCCTCATCCGCGCACTGGAGGTCCCTCTTGTCTACGGTAGGGTCGCTCGGAGGAGGAGAAGGAGGAGCAGAGGAGAGAGGGCGGGACGAACGGCCCGTGCGGCGTCGCGTGCAGGGGGGGACGACAAAGGGGGCGGGGGGGGGGGAGCAGCGGGGGGGGGGGGGGGCAGCGAGGGCTTCAGAACCGGGGCCCTCTGGGGCCCCTGAAGGGGCCCTTTTCGGGCCTGAAGAGAGGAATCCCTTGGGGGCCCAGAGGGGGCACCTTTCTCCCCTCCCCCCCCCCCCCGAACACCCCCCATTGGAGCGGACGACGCCCAGGCGGGCGGAGGCCGGAAGGGGGCGAACGGCGGGGCAGGGAGGCGGCGAGCATGCCCGGGGCGGCGGCGGCGGCCCGCCGGGGCGCAGGGCGGCCCCCACCCCCCGGGCGAGGTTCGGTCCTGCCGGACCTGCCGCCCGCGGGCTGCGGCTCGGGCCCGGCGCACTCGCCGCAGCCCTCGGAGACGGCCTCCGAGGGGCGCGCGCGCGCGCCGAGCTCGCTGAGCTCGGCGTGCTCGCCGAACATGCAGGCTCTCCCGGGGCACGGAGGGCTTCGGGAGCGTAAGACCCGGAGATCCAACGCATTGAACAAATTATCAAGGCGACAGTTTTTTTCGTCATTTTCGGCCTCGGGGGGCCCTCGCCGGGCCCCAGGGCCACCAACAGAAACGACTCGGGCCGAGGAGCCGGTCCAGGGGAAGGGGGCCAGACATATTGGGGGTCGCGCAACGAAGAAATCACGACGTCGGTGGTCTGGCGTTCGTCCAGGCCTCCCAGACGGTGTGCTGTCTGGTGCCAGTGTGGGCCACCGCCGTGACGGGAAAAGGGGGTATCCGAGGACGCGCCGTCGTTGGGGAGGGCGGGTCGGCGCGCTGTACTCCTTCGCCTCCCCACGGCGGTCTTCTGCCGAAGGTCGAAGGAGAAACAACACCGTCAACAGAAACGTTTGGCGAGCGAGGGATGAGGAAAGGAGCGAGGGCTTGTATAGAAGAAGAAAAGACGCTATAAACATAAACTTTTGGTGCTTCGCGCTGATTTCGTGGATCTGCGCCTGGCCCCCCTGGCGGCGCCTCCGGCGCCGCCCCTGCCGCTCTCCGCGCGCAAGGGAGGGGGGTCCAGCGCAGATACAAGAAGTTCGCGCGGAGCGCCAAGAATCCACGTTTATGGCATTTTGTCTTCTTCTACAGGTGTTCGTCTAGGCCTCCTAGATGGGGTCGGAGCAGATGGGGGCGGAGGATCGCGCCGCATCGCCGATGCATCGCCAACGTCGCCGATGCATCGCTCGTTCATCGGCGATGCGGCGCGATCCTCCGACCCCATCTGCTCGGACCCCATCTTGGAGGCCTCTGGAAGCGGGCCCGAGGGTCCAGGGGTTCGGGCGCGCTCGACGGTGCTCGGGCGATTTCTGTCCAGGCTCGGGAGGGCTCTTCGAGCAGCGGCGCCTCGCCGGGAGCGGTCACGGGTGCGGGGGCAGTACTTCTGTGCATATCGTAGTGGTTTCCGGCCAGTGCCGCCAATCCGGGGTGCTACCGATGATGTTTGCAACGGATGACCTTTTTTGTTCAAAAGTAGAGCACGCTCTCGAGACATCCTCATACGATAGAGATGTTGAACTCGCTTGGGCAACCCTCGGATATTCGAACGTGACGATCTCGCGTGAACAGCCAAACTCATGGGATGTCCCCTCCCACCTTCCGGGCCTGAATGGCGTCAGCCATGGCGTCAGCCCCCGCCCCCCCCGACTCCCCCGTCCCGGGCGTGAATGGCGTCAGCCATGGCGTCGGCCCTCCCCCTCCCTCTCTTCTCCCGGGCCTGAATGGCGTCAGCCCCCTTCCCCCTCCCCCCCCCAGATTCGCCTCCCGGGCCTGAATGGCGTCAGCCATGGCGTCAGCTCCCCCTCCCCGCCCCCCTCCCCCCGACTTCCTCCTCCCGGGCCTGAATGGCGTCAGCCATGGCGTTCCGTCGATGGCGTCCCCCATGGCGTCAGGCCCCCCCCTCTCCCCCCAGGTCCCCTCCCAGGCCTGAATGGCGTAAGCCATGGCGTCAGCCCCCCACCCCCCTCCCCCTCCCGGGCCGGAATGGCGTTATCAGACCCCCCCCGTCCCCCCCTCCTCCCTCGCGGGACTGGCGTCAGCCCCCCCCCCTGTTCGACAGTGCGAAGTTCTCCCTTCCCTCCACCCTCCCGGGCCTGAATGGTGTCACCCTCCCCCCTCCTCCCTTGCGGGCCTGAATTGCGTCAGGTTCCTCCCCCCCTCCTCCCTCCCGGGCTTGAATGGCGTCAGCTCCCCCCCCCCCCTCCTCATCCCCGGGCCTGAATGGCGTCAGCCCCCCCCCCCCCCCCCCCCCCCCCCCCGACAGAGCGAAGCCCGCTCCTCACCCCCCCCCTCGTCCCTCCCGGGCCTGGGTTGCGTCAGCCCTCCCCCCCCCGGCAGAGCGAAGCCGCCCCGGGGCCCCCCCTCCTCCCTCCAAGGCCTGCATTGCCTGAATGGCGTCAGCCCCCCCCCCCCCCCCCGGGGGGAGCTTTCCGAGCAGCTGCGCCTCGCCGAGAGCGGTCCCCGGTGCGGGGGGGCAGTACTTCCGTGCATGTATTCACTGCAGCGTGGAGTTTCGGGCTCCCATCCCCAGAAACCCGAGACACATTGGATATTGATAAATGTGCAACCTCGAGGCTCGATGTTTATCCATATCCACTGCACGTCGGCCTTGCGGCGCCCTTTCCAAGAAAATCCAAGATGCACCGGACATGGATGCAGTTCTTGCCCGCACGGAACCCAGACGACGAGGACCACCTGAGTTTGATGAGAGGCGTGGATGGGTCCTCGGAATTCCGGATTAAGCGTTGATTCGGTTTGGGAGTGGATGAGCTAGCGCCGGCTTAGCGTCGGTTAGCGTCGATTGATAGCGTCGATGAGCGTCGATTTAGCGTCGAGTAGCCTCGATTCGTAAGAGCCGGCTATCATGAGGCTATCATGAGTTGCCACCGAAGATCGGGAAGGGGGGGGTACGAAATTTGTTGCACACAGCGGAAGTTTGCCCTGCCGCCGACAGCAAACGGCGAAAAAACACAGAATCCCTCGAGCAAGCACGTGCATGTGATCGTTTTCTGATTCATTGTTTTGCCGATCCGCACGGACCCTCGCACCCCTCCTTCCCCCATATGGCGTAGATCTTGGTTGCTTGTTATTGACGCCTGTTTCAGGCAGGTGGAGTGTTCACTTCAGGACGCACTGTTGCAAACAGTCGCGCTACTCCGGGTTTCTTAATCAGCGTCGGGGGGGCGTCACCCCGCCGACAACCCCGCATCGACCCCCGTCGCGGGTAGCCGCCGCGCGCCGAAGGCGCTCCGACCCCCGTCGTGGCGCGACGACCAGGCGGAGTTGACCCGCGTGGGGGGGTACCTCCCCACGCTTCACCAGAAACCCAGAGCAAGCCGGGGTCCAGAAGAAGAAAACGTTCGCCAGGATCACATCAAGACGCCGATCTGCGTCGTGCCAATGCTGCTTCCCCCCGAAAGGCGGTGGGCCGGCTGCCGAGCTCGCCGGCCGGCGTGGTGCGCAGCGTCCCGTCCGGCTCGTTCTGGGCAGGGGCGCGGCAGGAGTGCCGCGAAAAGCTCTGCGCGCCTCGGCAGCGCTTGACCGGCCCGTGTCCCCATCCCCCGCCAGGCCCCCACCCTCCCCCTCCTCCTCCTCATCCTCATCCTCGTCCTCATCATCATCTTCATTCTCCTCCTACTCTTCCCCCCCCTCCCCCCCCTCCTCCTCCTCCTGCTCCTCCTCCCCATCCGGCCGCCAGGCCCCCACCATCCCACCACCACAGTTGTGGATACGCTCCTCGGAATCCGGAGGGAGCGGCCGAAGTCCCCGCCTACAGGAGGCCGAATCAGCCGGCGGGGCCCAGGCCACGCCCATGGGGGCCAGGGGTCGGTGAAAGGATGCTCAGCGCCCCACTCCCCCCATCCAGCCCTACCCTCCAGGCCCAGTCCAGCCTTCCCCCTGCCCTCTAGCCCTAGCCTTCCCCCCCACCACTCCTCCATGCTCTCCCCTAGTCTCTCTCTCGAGTCCACGTCATCGTCGTCCTCCCCCCCCCTCCTCCCCGTCTCCTCACCCCTTCCTTCTCCCGCCGCAGTGCCCCCTCATCATGATCATTCTCATTTTTCTCTTCCCCCCCCGTCTTCCCCCCTGCGCGCACTCCTCCTCATCCTTATGCTTCTCCTCGTTCTCATGATGCTCGCATCGTTGTCAGTATCGTTATCCTCCTACTTGTTTCCTCCTCCCACCACCATCAGTTCTCTCCCTTTTCTTACTTCTCCCTCCCACCCCCCCATCCCTAACTCATCCCCCCCGCCACTCCACAGCGACCCACAGCCCACTCCCACCACAACTGACATACATACAACACACACGCAGTCACACGTTTTACTCCGCCGACGTGTTGATGCTTTCGTGTGTGCACAGGCAGACTCGCTCTCTCTCTCTCTCTCTCGTGCTCCTTTATATATGCACACATCGTTTTCCGGCCTGCCAATCTTCGAAGAAGCTTGCCTGAGCAGTGGCCCAGGGCAAGACAACATCTGGTCGGACACTCTCTCCCTCGCTTCCCCTGTGTCTTTCCATTCTAAGATTTGTGATTCATCTCTCTTCTTTTACGATGTGATAGTACACGCCCTCTCTCTCGTTCTCTCTCTCTCTCTCTCCCCAACCTCTTTTCTGTGAATATGTCTACACATGAGATCCGTAAGTACATCTGCCACGTTCGTTCGTCAGCGCGCGAGACAGCACCTGGCGGTCGAAGGCCACCTCACCCGCCCAAGAACAGACCGAGACACACACACACACTCACACACACACGAACACGCACACACATGGAATCCGCCCCCGTCCCCCGTCCCCCGAGACGGTTGGGAGCAGGAGTCTTTCCGGTCGCACGTGTCGCTGAAGTCGGTCCCGAGCCACAAGTCTATCCAGAGCCAGGAGAGTTTCTCCAGCAAGTTGCGAAGGAAGAGCAAGCACAGCGAGATCTCGTTCGCGATGGGCTCCTCGGGCTCTTTCATTGGGACGCAGTTGGTCGTCTCGAACATGGCGTCTTCGGAGTCTGCGTCAGATAGGTTTCACGTCCACGACGAGCGCATGACCGCGTTCCTGGTGTTGACTGCGGTCCACGACGTTATGAAGAACCCGTTGTTGTTGCCGACAGTCCAGAGGATGATTCCGCTTTCTCTTTCGCTTCCAGACTCCATACTCCCCATCGCCAGTTCGTCATCACACCGTCTTCTTCATCTCGCTCCTCCCCCATTCATCCTCATCCTACGCCAGGTACGTCTACACAGACACCAGCGGGTGATTTGTCGTGTGCCTGATGGAAGGGTTGCGTAGTAACACGTCATTTGTTGATCTACATATTGCCACCCTCCCCCGAGGCCCACGAACAATTCAGGGGGGGGGCCGTGTAAGTACTGCCGGGGCAGAGTTGTTTGCATGTTATATCCTTTCGTCCACCTCTTCCATCTTTTCGTCCTCCTCGAGGCCCTGACTACGTTATATTGTCTCTCTGCCTTGTTCTCTCCATCTCTCTTTCCCTCCCTCTCTTCCTAAACCATTTGTGTTGCCTCTCGTTTTCTCTCTCTCTCTCTTTCACTTCCTTTTTTTGTTCTCTCTCTCTCTCTCTCTTTCCCTCGTTCTCCCTCTCTCTCTCTCTCGCCCTCTCTCTTTCTCCCTCCCTCCCTCCCCATCGCTCTCGTTTCCAAGTCCGTGTTATGCCTCTCTCTCTCTCTCTCCCTCTCCTTCCCGCTCGTTCTCTCTCTCTCTCTATCTCTCTCTCTCTCTCTCATTCCCTCTCTCTTCCTTTCCTTCCTTCTCTCTATCCCTCTCTGTATTCCCTTCCACGATCTCCCTCTCCCTATCTCTTTCTCGTTCTCTCTCTCTCTCTCTCTTTGTTGTGCTTTCTCTCTATCTCTCTTCCTCTGTTTCCCTCTCTCTTCCCATTCCGTGTTCTGCCTCTCCCTCTCTCTCTCTCTCTCTCTCGCCTTGCGGCTTTCTCGATTCAGGCTATTCATATCTTTCTTCACATGGTCGTAATTTGTTTATATATATATATATATATTGAGAGAGTGCAGAATCGAACAAATATATATATATATATAAACACGATATATCATGTATATATATTATGTGTGTGTAGTTATCGTAGATGCGACTACAGATATGAACACACGGATCTTTATACATTTGCATACACACCTCGTGCTGTACTCCCGCTCTCTCTCCCTCTCTGGTTCTTTCGTCCTGCCGATGTGATATGATTTAACGGCGCAGGTTAAACAACTCATTGCGGAAAACGGTAGCAAGTATTCGTTCTTTGTCTCGCCACATAGGTATATTCACACTCTATACGCGTCCCCGCTCCGTACCTTGCTACCTCTCCCTTTCTCTATCTTTCTTTCCATACCTGACTCCGTTACTACTCGGTTCAGTCTTCTCCACAGCATATGGTTTCTATTGTGCAATGCATCGGTTGCATTCTTCTGCGCACCTCTGCCCTCGATTTCGAGATGCATTATCTTCTCAGTAGGATCAACCCTCTGATCCTGGCCGTGCTCAGCGGGCTCAGGTGTTTGACAGGGGCCGTGGACACTTGAGAGCCCGGCCGCCCACCGGACTGGGCCCAGAACCTGGAACCGAGGAACCAGGAACCTCTCAGGAGGGAAAAAAACACACAGACACAATTAATCGTCGACTCCCCAGAAAATATGGAAAATATGGGAAGTGGGGGGGTAGACAGAAACCCAGAAAATATGCGAAAACATCTGGAACATTTGCATTTGTGTGTATTTATTTGTGTGTCCTGGGGCCCCTTCATGGGCCCAGAACCCGGAACCAAGGAACCAGGAACCTCCCCTGGAACTGGGCAGTCCACCACAGTCGGCTCAGAACTCGGAACCGAGAACCTCAGAACCGGCTGCCCAATGACATCGGTCCGCAAGTTTCGCTCATCTTTTCCGCCTCCGCTGTGGCCCCATAAGTGCAAGCGTTGGTTCGGCATGCATCGTCCCTCCGCCTCTTCCCCTGGACCCCGTGAGCCGTTGAACCCCCTTGAAGCCGGAAGACATTCCAGGCAAGCGTCATCCTCCCATCAGCCGCCTCTCACCATCCTTTGAAAGCCCCTTGATGAACAAGCAAATATGAACATCAACCACACCGAAGTACTACATGTTCCGCCTTATGTTTGGGATGCAACTCCTGTGAGGTTCGATGCAGCATCTGCGCTGACCAGTAGATCCGCGTTCGAAATCTGGCCTCGTCTAGCATAAACCCGTCTAATTCCACAGCCCCGCCGGCTTGTACACAGAAGTCATGCACCAGCCTATGGCGCGGCTCTTCATCAATACAGTGCATGCCCAACGCATGCACTAACTTGTCTTAGTCCAGCTTAACGGCCTCGGGCTTCATCTTGCCTGATGTGGCTTCAACGGCCCCCTGGTTGGGCTCACTGGCCTTGAATTTTTCTTGCGAAGACATCCCACGGTCCAGCCCTCCGACGTCATGGTTTTTCCACAGCGTGGACACCTGGAGGATCTCGACCCGTTCCTGGGGACCCGCTTTTCATTCATCCTGGGCCCTTTTTGATAGTCATGGGGTCTGGCGAGGGTCCCCAGAGGCGGAACATACACACACACACACACACACACACACACACACACACACATTTTTATATATATATATATGTATGTATGAACATGCATGTATGCCTGATCCCGCCTCCCGTCGTGATTGTTGCCGCGACGCGATGGGGTCTGGTCGCCTATCTTTGCCGCCGGCCGGCGCCGCGGGAGGAAGCACGCGCCGTACCACGGCATCTCGGAAGGCACCCCGCGGGTGCTCCGAAGCCATGCGGCCCCCGCCGGTCCAGGTCTTCCCCTCCCCTCTTGAGGAGCGGGGAGGTCAGGGGCAACGTTAATCGCAATGGGTCTTTAGAACCCCACCCCCGATAGTTGGAAAGCACGTATCTTTTCGGCGACCTGATCCACGGAGTGAGGAGGAGGAAGAGGAGGAGGAGTGAGGAGGAGGAGGAGTCTGTCTGTCTGTCTGTCTGTCTGTCTGTCTTCACTACTCGAGCGCCAAGTGTCACTACTGCTATGTGCTCTGGGCCTGGGTTCTCGTCATCCGATCTCTTCACGTTTTGGAGCGCTCACGCTCCCAGGAACCGGACAGAACGCAGGAAACAGTGGGGGGTCCTGAGGGCGGCGGAACGGTGGTCAGCGCTTCGATGACTCCCCCCACGCGGCACGGGCACGCCGAGTAGATCAGAGGAGGAAAAAGGTACACCTACCGCAACCCCTGCGCCCGTGTGGCATTTTTCTCCGACTCCTGGGAGGCCCTCGTCGCCACCGCTTGCTTCGCCCAGAAAAAACCCAGGCAGAGCGCACCTCGGGAGAGGTCCGCGGAGCAGCCGTATCGGTACCTCTTGGCCTCCGACGCAAAGAGGGGGGCCCACCCTCCTGCTCCTCCTGCTCCTCCTCCTCCTCCTCCTGCTCCTCCTCCTCCTCCTCCACCTCTTCCTCCTCCTCCTCCTCCTCCTCCTCCTCCTCCTCCTCCTCCTCCCAGCGGGCGGTGGGGGCACACACGGCCTCTCCCACTGCCTTGGAGCACGCCGTGGGCGGTGACGCTCCTCTGGACTCCGCGCAAGCCCGCTCAGCAAGCTTGGATCTGTCTTGCAGGCGCGCCCCTCGGTGCCCGACCTGGTCTGCTGCTCAAGACCAGAGGCCTTGGAAGGCTGATCAGTGCACCGCTCTGCTGTTGCTGCTCTCGCACTGCTTGCCTCGATCGTCGATCGCAAAGTCAAGGGGCGAACGGATCACGCGTGCGGCGGCCTTCTCCTTTTCCTCCTGCTCGGCCGCCGCGTCTGCCAGGGTGGCCCACACATCCACATGCTCCGCGACCTTGGCCTGGGGGGCGCGCGGGTCGCCCAGCGTGATGGAGCCCAGGAGGAGCTTGACCGTAGTCCTCGAATGTCGGAGTCCTGGGTGTTGGACGTCGCGCACTCCTTGATCCATGTGCTGGCCATGTACATGTCGCTCTTCCTCATAACGAGCAAGAGCCTGTCGGGCGCTTCCTTGAGGCGCCTCACCGAGTCCTGTGCCGCGCCATGCTTGTCGAGCCAACCGCTGAAAGACCTCGGAAGTGCCGCAAAGCTCTGCAACTCAGGACGTCCCAGTCCTTGAGTATTGCAATTCAGGACGTCCCAGTCCTTGAGTATTCGCCTTGCCCTCCACTTCCTTTGGTATTCGGCGTCTGTCGTTCTGAGCACCGTCACCCAGTCCGCGTCGCTCGGCCCGTACACCGTCAGGCCCGGTCCGAAGTCCAGTGAGTGCGAATCCTCGACTCCAGCTGGCGCAGCAACTTCGCGTTGGCGTGCCCTTCCTTGCCCTTGCCCTTGCTCTCTGCCAGCTCGCCCCATTGTCCCCCCTGAGAAGATGCTGCCTCCACCTGTTGTGGGCCCCTCTTGAGGGCGCTCGGCACCAGCCAGTCCGCCGTAGTGGTCGATGGCCTCTTGGAGACCTGGCAACTCAAACTCAAGTACGTGTTCGTGTAGAGTCGGTTGTAGATGCTGCGCCAAACCATGCTTACGGAGGCCGTCTCGTTGTCGGTGGCCCAATACACGCAAGCAGGGCGCTCGTCCGACCTGGGCTGAGGGATCGCGCCATTCGTGCGCCCCCGACCCAAATGACAACATTTTCGAAACAGACTGTTGTGCATGTGCCTTTCGGCATAGTCGATGGAACAGAAGCTCGAGCCACATATCTCATACTGACTCGACAGACAGAACATTCTCCCGATGACTTGCTTCTCGTGCGAGCCGCCCTCAGTCATGAGGTAGTGTGTTGCCAACTGCTTGCTCCCGAACCTCTCAGTGCAAAGCTCACGGACGTCTTTCACTGCTGTGCATTTGTAAGGCCCTCCTTTGTCCAATTCCTCTTGCTTTCGCTCGTGCCGCGCAATGCTTAGGAACAAGTGTACCCTTATACCTCCGACGTCCCCTTGAATGAACTCCTCCCTCTTCTCGAACAGTAGTATGTTCTCCACCCCGTAAATTTCGATCTGCCTGGCCCCGTCGCCGAAAAGCTCGATCGCTCGAATGTCGTAGTAAAATTGCTGGCGCAATGTATTCGCTGTCTCGTCGTTCCTCAGATGTTTCTGTGCTTCTGTCTGGTTCGCGTCCCGACAGCGCCCGAGCACCACCGCCAGAAATTGAGCAAACCGTAACGGGCGGCCGCCTGAGACATTGTTGTAGTCAACGAAGCCTAGGAACACGCATCTCAACATGAGGGGCCGCCTGACGAACCTTCGCGAGGGCCTGGAGGTTGGTGAGGGTACGAGTGGATACATCTTCTCACTGGCAACACCCCGCAATAGTATATTTGCCAACCCTGGGCTGTCATGGGGGCCAGCTTCGCGCAGAGCACCTCCGCTCCGCTGTAACAGGCAGGAAATGAACGAGGGACGAGTTTATTTCCCGCCGAGAGACGCAGGGGTTGGGGAGCTGAGGTGATGGTGATGATGATGATGATGATGATGATGATGGTGATGATAACGACGTCGACGACGACGACTATGACGACGACGACGACGACGACGACGACGACGACGATGATGATGATGATGATGATGATGATGATGATGCTGATGCTGATGATGCTGATGCTGATGCTGGTGCTGGTGCTGGTGCTGATGATGATGATGATGATGATGATGATGACGATGACGACGATGATGATGATGATGATGATGATGATGATGATGATGATGATGATGATGATGATGATGATGATGATGATGATGATGATGATGATGATGATGATGATGATGATGATGATGATGATGATGATGATGATGATGATGATGATGATGATGATGATGATGATGATGATGATGATGATGATGATGATGATGATGATGATGATGATGATGATGATGATGATGATGATGATGAGGATGATCAATTCATTGAATCGCTTCGCTCATTCCGCCGTCCCTGGAGCCCTCTTTAGGGCCTCTTGGGGGCCTCTTGGGGACCTCTTGGGAGTCTCTTGGGCTCCTTGTCGGCGTCTCGGGGGCCCCCAGGGCCTTCCGGGGGGCTCTTGGGGGCCTCTTGGGACAGGAGGGGGGGTAGTCGATTGCGGACCCCCCTCGGAGGCCACGATCCTCCCGAGGGGTGTCGAAGAATTGCCCGGTCCGGCATCTCTGGCCCGACACTGCCGGGACCGACCCCGGGATCCCTCCCGGGACTTGCCCAGGGGCACTTTTCGCCCGGGGACCCCCAGGGGCCGCCCCCGCGCGCGCAAACTAGAAATTTTGTCAACCAGTTGCCGGAGATCTTAGCACGCCTCTGGCCCGTCGAGCCGGCGAATTTCCCGCCGAGAGACGCAGGGGTTGGAGATCTGAGGTGATGATGATGATGATGATGATGATGATGATGATGATGATGATGATGATACTTTAAGGGTAGGTCTTTGGGAGATGTTATAGTATCGGGAGCATAGCTCGCGCGCGCCGTTGCCTTTGGCCCAAGGCACGCGCGCCCTATTTGCGCGGACACCGCGAGTGTTCGCTATGTGCTGGAAAGATCATTACATCGATCTTATCCTATCTTATCCGTCCACCCCTCATACTGTACCTTCACAGCAGAGCGATGGACGCAATTTGCCAGGCTATATGCCATATTTGAGCTACCAGGCTCACTTTCGACTTGGTAGCGGAGCTGGCCGCACTCTCTTGTGGTCAGCTCTTGCTCTTCTTAGCCTCATATTCTTCGGCACGATCTTCGTGACCACCTACCACCCTGCGCCACCACTCCCAGTACGTTTACGAGGATCTATCCAAGAGCAAGAAGCAACACGAGAGGTACGACGTCTAGACGACCAGACTGGTACCATATACGCTTCATCATTGCGTTACCACCAACCGCTCGGCAACGAGCTAACAGCGCAATACTTGAAGCAGGGGCGGGGAGACCCGCCAGACAGAGCGCCTCGAAGACTCGACAAGGCGCTACCCCAGCGCGACAACGCGCATCATAACCGTCCTTCTTACACATTCTCGGGCTAGTCGTTTTCGCTATTATATGGTTCGCGCTGGGGGCAGCAATCGGACACATGCGTCGTGGAGAAAACAGCACCGATGGGCAAACACATGGCCCATATTGGGACCCTCAAGGTAATGTACCTTTTCGTGAGTACATCTACGAGGTCAACGCATGGCTCAACGTTACAAGCGGACGTATGACGCCACAGGCCCAAGCGGCCGCAATACAACGCGGCCTAGGTGGCCTAGCGAGGACACTCGCCATGAGGGTACCGCCTGACATTATAAACTATGGTGCTGACATCGATGGGGTCCACACAGACCCAGTGACCTACATCATGTTCCTCCTAAGCATGAAGTTCGAACGCCTGGAAGATGAGCGACAGCTCACTTCCGGCACACAACTCATCGACTTCCACGTGCCTCACGGGGAACGAATCGATGTCACCCTTACCCGATTCGAAATGGCCCGACTTGAGGCACAGTCGGTGGGATTCGACCTTCCCAACTTCCAACTGCTAACCACTATCCTATTCCGCGCCTTAGGCGTCGGCAACCAGCGAGCCATGCAACTCTTACAGCCACTCAATCACCAAATGCCCCGAACACAACAACAGTATGATGAGTTGCTGGAGAGGATGCGTTCGATAGGCCACCTATCCGAACGGTCTCCTGGTAACATAGGATCTGTGTTTGGAAGGGGAAGGGGATCTGGTAGTGGAAATTTCTACACTACCTTGACTACTGAAGCCCAGCCTGGAAACGGGCCCTCAAGCATATGGG